TCCCTGCTTTGCAAACATTTCTTTTCAGTTTTTAGCATACTCTGATGAAGCAAATGAATAAAAAGAGTTCTATATCCATTACTACTAAATATTTCATTTACAATTTTTAATTTTAACCCATAAAGCTAGATATAGTGGTGCCTTTGTTCTCAAGATCGAATGCCAAGTGGCCTTCAGCCACTTGAAACATAGCTATGGATACAATGGCAACCTTAAGAAAAAAAAAAAGAATATATATATATTCACAAGCTAACATCATGGGAATTATTTCCCAAAAGAAACCAGCCCAGATTAATAAATATTTAAGAGTACTAACTACTATCATTGGTTTTGATGATGGTTTCAGTCTATGATTAAGTAGTATATCAATTTGTTCCCACCACTTCAGAATCGTTTATACTGAGTTGTCTATAAATGATGAATATCTGACTTTCTCAAGTATCTTTCAGATCTGTACTGAATAAAGGAACAGCTAGATTAAAACCAACAAAGTAGGGAAAAGGAAAAAAATTGCTAAAAGTTGACCACTGAAAATATAAAATACCAGTATTACAAAAATCACTGTCAAAACACAGCAGTCTGAAGCCATTTAACGTAACGACAAACACGTTAACAGTTTCAGACCACATGAAACGAAGTAAAATGATTACATTCTCAATGATTCCAACTTATGATGGTAAAGTTAAATTATATTCAGACACAAAACTTAGCAAAGAATAAAGAAAGATTTATATTAAATCTTTCAATGCTTAAAAGGATAAGCTTCAGCTACAAAAATATTCATTTATATAAAAACATCATATAAGCAAGGAGTTACCATTGCCTTATTCTACACAAATGATGTCTAATATATCGATAGCAGTGCTGAAGGAAAAATGTTGCAAATTATTTTAAGAATATATAAAGATATACACAATGTCCTCACTAGTTTTGTTTCCTAATTTCTCATATATTTGACCACTTCTTGTTAAAATCTCTTTAAGACACATACTCATATTTCTAAGGACACTATCTTTCTTCTCACTTCAGAATTCATCTTTTCAACAATTCCCATACTCTTTCCTCTAAGCTCGGAGTAAGAGGCTACTTATTTCCATTCCAAATCTAATTTTCTTAGTACTTTATTTAATGCTTAGTATTCTATCTAAAGCTACCTAATCTTCAAGACCCCAGTCCCTCATTCACAGAAATAACAATCTTCGCTCCCAGAACTTTAAATCCTGATTCCTTACTCCTGGCTACCTTGACTTGATCTGATCTTTCTCTTAGTATTCAAGTTTTTTTCTTCCTTTCACTACGTCAAACTTCTCAAATCAATGTGTATCATTTCTCTAATTTTACTGGTGCCATGCTTTCAAAATCCAATGGACTTTTTAGCGTCAGTTTTCTATTGATTTCTAAGCAACATATTAAAACTATTCCTGTGGTTTTCACAATGCTTCAACACCCCAAAGGCCTCTGACTTCTTCAGCCATCCGCTTTCTACCTCCTTTAATGAGACCTTCTCCTTTGAATGCCCTTTATTAAATGCAGGTGCTTCCTGAGAAGTACTCTGCACCAGCCCTCTGCTCTTCTCTGTGACTTCACCCACTCTCGGGACATCGCTCTTCATCCCACATATTCTTGTCTACTGTGGTCTTTAGCCTCACCTCTCCCTAGAAATGAAGTCTTCATGAGTCACTGACTGTTGGGGACTGCTGGATACCCCCAGTCAACAAGATATCCTTCGCACGAAGCTTGACTTCTCTGTCGAATGCTGTCTTTCTTTCATCCTTCTCCCGGTTACCCAAGCTTAAGATTTCTGAAACACCTTGGACTCTTTCTCAATTCTCCCCTCCAGATTTAAATATTCACCAAGATTGGTCAATTCTTCCTTCATAACATATTTTACATAAGCTGTTTTTCCCTCCTTAGAGACACTATTCTTTTCATAGCCACTTTTCTAGTTCATATCTGGATTACTACAAAAGCTACTCATACATGCTAGAGCCATCCCCATTTTTACTGAATTCAGCCTCCAGATATATCTTTCTAAAATATATTCGACAAGTATCACCTCATTTCTCAAAAGGTATTTAATGATACCTATCTATTATATAAAACCAAATTCCTAAGCCTGGTCTTCAAAGCCCTTTTCATCAGTTAACTGTGTTAGCTATTTTTCCTAATAATTGCCACTACTCAAATATATCCCTTAAAAAGGTTTCAATTCACTGTCTCAAAAACATACATTTTCTGTGCCTTTGTTTACATCCTTCTCAGCAACTCCTGCTCCTAACCTATCTACACATTTTTGAGAGTACATTAGGGTAACAGGTACACAAACTCTGGAGCCAGAACTTGGGTTCAAATTCTAGGTATGCTATTTATGGAGTCACTTTGGGAAAGCTATTTAACCTTTCTGTATCCGAGTCGTCTCCTCTATAAAATGTGGATAATAATATCTACCCCACAGGACTCTTAAGGATTAAGCAAGTGAATATATTTAAGGTTCCTGGCACCATAAATGTTAGAAATTATTAATATTTCAAGCTAAGCTCAACTGACATTCTTCCAATAAAATTTTTTATAGCTCCACAATGATCATGCTGTTTTTCTATAATTCGATAACACTCATAAAACATTTATATTGAACCACAAAGTCTTAAGTACAATATAGGGTTTCTCAAAACTGGCACTACTGACATTGTGGGTCAGATTTTTTTTCTTTTTCTTGCTGTGTGGTAGCTGTCTTGTATACTGTAGGATATTCAGCAATATCCCTCACCTCTACTCACTCAATACCAGCAGTAACTGCTCCCTACTCGCCAAATTGAAACCAAAAATTTCTCCATTCTCAATTACCCTGGCAAACTTGTCTGGTTCAAAATCATCGACATAATATAATGCAAGACAAAACATATGAAAGCACAAAGTAACTGCAAAGCAATATACAAGGGTCAAGCATTATTACCACCTTACATTCAGCAAGTACACCTTTGTATTAGTGAACTGACTTGAATTCATATGTACTTTATTTACCCAATTCATTTTAAGATCCTTTCATGCAGAACACATGTTTTACTTATTTCCACAATCACACCCAACCAAAGGCCTTTGATATTTGTTGACTGATAGAATAAGATATAAATAAACAATTCAAACAGAACACAGTGAGCTGGAAAGAGCATGGGATTTGCAGTCAGAAGATTAAGTTCAAATCTTAGCTTTCTTCTTACTAATTTTAGAACCTTGGGCAATAATTAAAGTCTATGAGCCTCAGTTTTCTGACCGATAAAATGCTAACATCTATATAGGTTGATTGTGATATTCAAATATAATTAAGAAAGTGAAAAAAAAACATATATACCGCAGAACTATCATGTACATACAACCATATGTGTAAACACACAAAATTATTCTCCCATAATACCTCTTTTATCCAGAATCATCAGAAACTGAATTTCTTTACAACCTTATTTTTGAGGTAACTGAAGCTTATGCCTTTAAGTGTTTAAATTTTAAATTATTTTGACTGAAATAGTCTGCTTTCTGAACACACACACACACACATACACGTGCACTAAAGTATTTCAAAAAGTTCATGGAAAATTGAAATAAAAAATAAGCTTATTTTGGTGCAAAACTTTTTGTAATCTATGTATAGTTTTCATAATACATATTTTTCTTAAACCTTTTTGAAGACCCTCATGCATTGTTTTCAAAATTTTTACACCAAAATATACATCTTTTCCATTTTTCACAAACTTTTTAAAGAACCTTCATATATTCTTTCTTCTAAAACAGTAAGTACTGAATATAATTTAACTTTTCCTTACAGATTCTGGCCCATTGTTATAAACCTTAATTACCATTCTAATATATAGCTCCCTCAGAGATGATTAGAAGTGTAATGTGATTGACTTCTTTATTAAATATTGCCCTAGGTACCATGTCTCATTTTCTTTTACTGCAGCTCCAGAGCTCCTCCTGTTGCCCCTCTAATTCTCTACAGATTAGAAAACTAATTAAGTTTATTATGATGGAACCTAAAATGAGAAAAAAATACTCTGAAGTAAAGCTCCGGAAGTACTCCTAGAACTAAAATTCATACACTTAATTTGGAAAGCTCGGCAGCTACCTTGACTATTACAGGTATCTTTTATTTTTCAGTTCCTAGTTGTGTTCTGGGTAGCTGAAGTTGCTAGATAAGCATTCTCTCTTAACTTTAAGTATACTTATATATGTGAGAATATCATATGCTGTAATACATATACTCATATTAGAAATCTATATAGAACTACCCACTTATATTCACAAAATCTGCTGTGAGTGCTTCCTGATGCCACTTAAAATTATATACCTCATTAAGGGGAAAAAAATGAGCCAGAATTCATGACCTAGAAGTCCCATCATAAGCAAACCAAAAAAGAAACAAAACAATATTATTACTAAATTCTTTCAAGATGTACATGCATGCCTGCTTTTCTATCTGAGTTGATAAGATAAACAGAAAGGTCTGTCTTTTCCAGTTAAAAAAATCATTCGTCTTTAGACATAAGTAAACATTCAATTTCAAACGAAGACGAAAATTTAATAGAACTTGGAAGAAAACCAAAGTCAAACTGAAAATTGTTTTGTAAGTCAAGATATTGTACACATGCCTATAAATAACACAGGCCCAGGAAAAATCTGTTCCCCTGACAGTTCCAGAATATTTGTACTACTTTTAGGTATATAACATAAATAATATAGATAATAAAGTTATCTTTAATAAATCATAACATTACCAGATTAAAAAAAAGTAACAGTTGAATGAAAAATTAATCAATTCAAATTATTATAATTTTTTAAAAAAGATTTTTTTTTCGGCTGGCCTTTAAAACTTTGGTGGCTTATAATCAAATAAAAGGTTAAATAGAGAGAAAGGCAAAAAAATAAAAAAGTAAACTGGATGGAAGAAAACATGACATATCTAACATTTCTTAGAAGCTAGTGGATAAAATTATCTTGCCTTGTACCTGACAACCGTAGTCCAAAAGAAGCTGCAGTATATCCAAGTTTTCGTTTTCAATAGTTATGGTAACAGCATTTCTCCCAAGCACATCTACGCAATTTATGTTCAAGTCACCTGAACTGTTTTCCTCCAAAATCTTTTTAACCATATAATAGTCACCTAAATAACAATATACAAACATAATTTAATATCCATGACATATTACATAAGAATGACTGTAAAGTAAAACTTAGTTTGTTGAATAAAAGATTAAAAGCCTAAACTCATCTTGTATATGGAAATATGCACTGAAAATGTGAACATTTCCTTGCAGCTTCTATCTTGATAAAATGTTATCAGCTGAAAACACAAAAAGCAAATAGAAATGGATGATTACAAGGAGAAAAACTTGTAGAAGATATTTAAAACAATTTAATAAAAGTATGTCCAAAAGCACAGATCAAAAGCTAGAAAAAATAGGAGAAGCTTAATGGAATTAAATTCTGTATCTCAAATATATATACACATTTACTCATATAACATAATGGTTAAAAATGAGATCTAGTACCAAGTACAGGATAATATAGAGCAGCTTTATAAGAGAAAATATATGTTGGAAGAGCAGTGGATTGTGAATTTGTGAATACATCTAGTATGAGGGAAGGATACCCAAAAATTCTCTCTCCTCTCCACTCTCCAACAAACACATCATTATTATCAACTTCATCAACAACCTATTTGGGGTAAATGATCAGGACACACACTGTTCAGGAAACTCTAGGGCAGGCCTAGGATTATTGCTTGACCTGTCAGAAGCAGGCAGACTGTCTTATAAAGCTGTACCCCACCACAAAACATTCGTCCGTGTGGGAAAATGAAGATAATTATGGCAATAAGCAATTTCATCAAGGGCACACTATATTTATTTGCTAATCAGACAGTGCTGGAATATGGGGAATAAGTCAAAAGAAAAATGGTAATTAAACGGAAAAAGAAAGCAAGTTCAAACATAAGATGATCACACCATTGTAAGTGACTTGCAAATACAGTTTTACCTTTGAAGACTAAGAAACAGGGAAAGAACAATCAGAATGGAAACTTGATAGAAAAAGAATGACTTCATGCTACAAAAAAATACTAAAATTGGACTATATAAAATTTTGAAAGATTTTATTAAACTTTTTTTTTTAACTTTTAAATAAATTTGCTATTATTGTTAACCAATGGCCTTAAAGCCCCTACACGTTTTAAAAAACTGAATGGCAATTTTTCTTGACAGTAGACTTCCTCAGTTTTGTTTTTAAGATTTTTAATGTTTTAATGTCTTGGACAAGGATCAGGACTCCTTTATAGATTTTGAACAAATATTATCTGTTTCAAATATATGTCATCAGTACCTTCTCAAGTAGCCTTTTTCCCCCAGTAACTTTTTGAAGTTTGCCAATCTTTGATTACAAGGTTCCTGTTTCTTCCCCTAAAGAAATGTCACATGGTCTCTTTTCCTATGCAATGTGTGAGAGCCCTTCTTCCCTTGAAGACCACACCACAAGGCAGTTATAGGACGGTCTTAGACTGTTCTTGTGTACGAAGAATTCTGATGTAAGGAACTGGGAAATGGTGGTGCCCGCCTCTGGTGAGTGTTGCCCTTCTCTCCTGCAATATAATTTTATGCCGGTAAATCTCTTTTAAAAATTCTGTGGATTTTCACTCAAAACTATAATCATATGAAGAAGCATTTTGCTGAAATTCTGGAGCACAGCATAGCTTTCCCAAAGACCTTCTTTGACCCTTTGATGTTCCAGACATCCTTTTCTGAAGTTTATTTTTCTAAAACAAAGTATTATAAAACTATGTTTGCAAGAATAGATTCACACAGGCATTTCTTTTTTAATGTTAGCTCCCACATATAAGGGAGAACAAGTGGTAAGTCTTTTCTGTGACTTATTCACTCAACATGTCCTCGAGTTGCATCCATTTTGCTGCAAATGGTAGAATGACATTTTTTATAGCTGAATAATAGTCCATTGAGTGTATATACATTTTCTTTATCCATTCATCTGATGATGGACACCTAGGTTGATTCCAAATTTTGATACTGTAAACAGTGCTGCTATCAATATGGTGGTGCAGGTATCTCTTTGATACAACATGTTCATGTCTTTTGGATATATTCCCAGTAGTGGGATTGCTGGACCATATGGCAGGGCTATTTCTAGTTTTTAAAGAAATCGCCACACTGTTTTCCACAGCAGCTTCCTTAGTTTCTCCAATAAAACTAATCACAAAAAAATGTATTTTTCCTATAGAAATACTAGTTTTTAGACACCAATGCCCCATGGCAAAAACATCAGATACTTTACAAAGAGATGCTCTTAGCCATAAGTTGAACCAACAGTGATCAAAGATATAGACCAGTGAAAATTTATCAGTATTCTTGGGAAATAACATCTAAAACGTGACTTCAAATAAATCTAGCTTAATATCTTAGGAGAATGCTACCCATAAAAACTGCTATAATTTGTTATGATGTGTCTAGCTGAGGACCCTTATCCTCTTTGGGACTCACTAGACTTTCTAAATAAGGATTTTTCCCTTCATTAATTCTCAATATTTCCAGCCACAGTATCTTCAAATATTGCTTCACACTGTATTGTTTTTTTCTCCTATCAGAACTTCTATTAAAACAGTTTTGTTATACCTTCTCATTCCAACTTCTGTGTCTCCCAAAATTTCTGAATTTTTCTCTTTTCCTGGACTTAGGGTGATTTCTTCAGAATTTTGTTCCAATCACTTATTTCTCCTTTAATGCCCTGTTAATTAACTCATTTATTGATTTATAAAAACTAAAGTATATATTTATATATTACATTGAATTTTCTTCTAAATTTTATCTTTCATTTTCATATTTTAAGACTTTAGTTCCTTAAAGCATAATTATTTTATGGTCTCCATATGGTAATTAAATAATCTATAGGTAGTGTTAATTTGAATCCCAAGCTAACAACAGCCAACACAAGGGGCTTGTGTTGTGGCATGAAAGGTTAAGGCACTACCTGTAATGCCAGCACCCCACATGAGCACTGGTTCTATTCCCAGCTTCTTTCAATTCCTATCCATCTGCCTGCTAATGCACCTGGGACAGCAGACGATGGCCCAAGCACATGGGCCCCTCCCACCAACAGGGGAGACCCAGAAAGCGTTCCAGGATCCTGGCTTTGGCCTGGCCCAGCCCTGGTCGTTGTGGTCATTTGAAGAGTGAACTAGCAGATGGAAGCTGTCTGTCTGTCCCATTCTCTAACTCTACCTTTCAAATAAATAAGCCCTGAAAAACAAAAGCAGCCCCAAAATCATGGTTACATGAAAGTAAGGATTTCTAATTACATGCAATCCAGAGTAAAACAAGCTTCTTTGAAGTCTCCCTCTTCTAGTGGATGGGTTCTTTTCCTGATCTACTCCTTTGCTGAAGATGAAATCCCTAAGGATCCTTGTTACACATATAGATATTGGCTCCAACTCCACTTGGTGCTGACTCAAGGCCTTATATCATGCCTACACAAGCAGTACTCCCAAGTTTCCATGGAACAGCCATAGTGCCAGCTCACATACTCCTGTTTTTCAGGCTTTTCTTCACTTTGGATCCCAAGAGTTCCCCTTACTTTCCTGAAAGCACAGATATTCTTTTAGATATTTGTTATATTTTAGTTCTCACTTTTAGGTGTTTTAATGCAAAAATTTCAGGTATTGAACTACAAAGAACTATACAAATAAATTTTTATAAAATTTTTAAAATTTCAGGTAAAGGTAAACAGAACTTATTGTAATATATGTTAAAAGTTCAGATTGCTAAAAACTGCATTGCAAAAATCAGATAACTCCAGATTTAAACTTTTGAATATTTCCATTGCAATCAGAGTTATACAACAAAAAAATCTTTAAAAATCAAAACTAAATAAGTTTAAGCCCTAAAAATAAAAAGCTCTGGGGCCGGCGCTGCAGGCAGTGGCTTTACACACTATGCCACAGCACCATGGGTTAAAGCTCCAATCTGCAATGCCACCATCCATATGGGCACCAGTTCCAGTCCTGGCTGCTCCACTTCCCATTCAGCTCTCTGCTATAGCCTGGGAAAGCAGAAGATGGCCCAAGTGCTTGGGTCCCTGCACCCATGTGAGAGACCCAGAAGAGGCTCCTGGCTCCTGGCTCCAGATCGGCTCAGCTCTGGCATTGTGGACATTTGGGGAGTGAATCAGTGGTTGGAAGACTTCCCTCTCTCTCTCTCTCCCTTCCTCCCTCCCTCCCTTTCTCTCATTCTCTTTCTGCTTTTGACTCTCTGTAACTCTTTCAAGTAAATAAATATTAAAAAAAAAAAATAGGCCAGCACCGTGGCTCACTTGGCTAATCCTCCGCCCACAGAGCTGGCACCCCAGGTTCTAGTCCCGGTTGCTCCTCTTGCTGTCCAGCTCTCTGCTATGGCCTGGGAGGGCAGTGGACGATGGCCCAAGTCCTTGGGCCCCTGCATCCGCATGGGAGACCAGGAGGAAGCACCTGGCTCCTGGCTTCGGATTGGCACAGCTCCAGCCGTAGTGGTCAATTGGGGGATGAACCAAAAGAAGGAAGACCTTTCTCTCTCTCGAATAAAAAAATAAAATGTTCTGGGGCCGGTTCTGTGGCGTAGTAAGTAAAGCTGCCACCTGCAGTGCCAGAATTCCATATGGGCACTGGTTCAAGTTCCAGCTGCTCCACTTCCAATCCAGCTTCCTATTCATGAGCCTGGGAAAGCACTGAAAGTTGGTCCAAGTTGTTGAGTCTTTGAACCCACGTGGGAGACAAGGAAGAAGCTCTTGGCTCCTGGTTTCAGATTGGCCCAGCTCCGACCATTGTGGCCTTTTGGGAAGTGAACTAGCAGACGAAGACCTCTCTCTCTGCCTCCACCACTCTAACTCTGCCTTTCAAATAAACAAATCTTTTTTAAAAAGTAAAAAATGAAAGTTCTATGCTGCCACAGCTAACACTCACGCAAAAGAATGAGCTAAAGCCATAGACATTATAGGAAAGCTACAGTGGTTGCTAAGCATCTCACTGAAATTTATATTTTCAAGTCATTTAAGATAATGTGCTATATCCAAAAAGGACATAGCAATCTTAATTTTTAGGAAGAGTGAATATGCAAAAGCATTTGAGGAATGAACCAACAGATGGGAGTTCTCTATCTCTGTCTCTCTCTACCTTGGAAAAACAGATTTTTTTAAAAAGTCACTACTTATCACCTCTTAGTGGTGATTTCTGAACTTACTTTTAAACTACTAATCCTACATGCTAGATTTCTCAATATCATTAAATTTGATCAAGTCAACTAAAATACAGCAACAAGAATTCTTCCTAGGTTAAAACAATATCTATATAATAAAATTTAAACTTTTAATACTTCTCCTCCATGGTTGTAATATATAAGGTACAGGAATTTGGCTTGAGTTACCTTTTTTAATTGCCCAAATAAAAGACTGACTTTGAAACAGAAATATGCCATATTCCAAATCACATACAGGCCATTTAAGTTAAATTGAATATTTGCTTCAAACAGATTTTACACAAACATACCTTTCCTTACTGTCCCTCAGTAGAGTATAAAAGAGTATCTTCTGATGGCTCAAGTACTTAAGTTTCTGCTACTCATGTAAGAAACCAGCATGGAGTTCTTGGCTCCTGGTTTCAGCATGGCCCCACCCTGACTTGTGGGCATTTGGACAGCAAACCAGTGGATGGAAGATACATTCTCTTTCCAATAAGTGAAAATTAATACACATAGAAGAGACAGGATCTTATTCCATAATGAAAATGTGTGCTAAGATATGGATATAGTCAGTTATGTCTTGATAGAGCACTTTTCCAGGGCCTGATCACAATTCAGGACTTCAAAGTATATTTGGTTGATTTGCAGAAAAGAACAAAGTAAAAATAATAAAGAAAAATATGTGGTATCATTATAAAGAAATGCCAATACTACAGAACTGGAGGCAACTAGCTGCTCAATGATTGGGCTGTTAAATTATCCACCACGAGTCTGGGGATTTACAAGTCATGTTTTGTTAAGGTATCTATGAATCATTCATTCCCTACAACATTTCTCAGCTAGTACATTTTAAAACTTCAGTCATTTGAAAAGCTTTCCTGTACAAGGTTCTTAAGTGTCCTGCCTAATGACAACTTGTGAAATGTCTATACAATGTTGCCTGCGGTACTCATCTCTAACTCTTCTTTCTGTGAAAGGTTCCTCCCTCATCTACATTAGGTACCCCCGGCCAATATAAAACAGCAATATCCAGCACAGTGTTTCTTAGGATGCCTGCATCTCATTATCAGAGTACCTGGCTCAAGACCCTGTTCTTCCTCTAATATCAGGTTCCAATCACACACACCCTGGCAGGCAGTAACCATGCCTCAAGACTTAGGTCCCTGCCACCACCCATGTGAGAAGACTCAGACTATAATTCAGGGCTCACAGCTTCAGCCTGGCCCAGCCCAGTCTGTTGCAGGCATTTGAGGAGTGAACCAGCAGATAGAAAATAGCTTGCATGTTCTCTCTCATGTTGTGTTCTCTCTCCCATCCCTGAATGCCTTTCAAATAAAATGAAAATACATAATTAAAAAAAAAAGAATGAGCAGAATTTTATTGGGGTGGGAGTCACTAGGTTTAAGTTTTTAACACTAGAATATGAACTAGCAAAATTTTTCTTCTAAATTTTATACAAAGGATCCAGCGTTACCTTGAAATCACCCTGACCCACTCTGAAGATCAATAATAGCCATTACTAAGTGTCCACTACTCAGATCAGAAGTTGTTTAGATGGAACTCATCCACATGAAAGTCAGCCAGTACACACCATAATTTTTCTACTAACATGCACATAACCACAATTTCTGCTTTAGGAATTCCCAAGTTCTCAGTAAGTGGAACATGTTATCAATGCTTCACATACATACAGCAATACTGCTAAACGGAAAGATGCTCTAAAACATCATAAATGGTCTAGAGATGATTTTCTCTGGTGCTACTTTAACACCATGTTTTCTACCTTTATTGGATAAATGTAATAAAAAGCAAATTTAAGGATATTGTGGCACAGCAGGTTAAGCCACCAGTTGGTTAATGTGGTTTAATCCTGCATCCTATTATCAGAGTGCTACTCTGCTTCCAATGTAGCTTCCTGCTAATACGCCCAGGAAGACTTTGGGACCTTGTCACCCACATGGCAGACCCAGATTGAATTGCAGAAACTAGGGAATGGACCATGGGATGAAAGATGTGTCTCTCTCTTACCCTCTCTGTCAAAATGCCACTCAATAAATAATTAAACGTACATGGAAAATAATTTTAATTTCCAACCAAAAAGTACAAACATGGATGTGTATTTTCTGACACAAAGGATTTTCAATCATTTGCATATAGAACACTGGAGATAGATTAGATCAAATCAATAGAACACTGAGATAAAGAGAGAGAGGAGAGAAAGAGAGAGAGAGGAGAGAGAGGGAGAGAGGGAGGAAGGGAGGGAGGGAGGAAAAGTTAGTTGTAAGGATCACATGCAGTCATCTATGCAAAGCATGGGCACTCTACCTCAATAGCTGTTTGAGTAAATGTTTGTCATTTGGTCTGAAGAAGGCTCCAATGTAATAGAAGGAGCTATACCTACTTCAGGAAACTGTTCACTTTTAGATTTGCTTTAAGTAACACTAAAAAGCACACACTAAAAAGGTTAAACAATATTAGTTAATACAAACATGTAAACAAAGAATCCTCTAAGACTTATTTTAATTGTAAATTTGCACCATAAGTGTATGTAATAAATATGCCATTTTTCTAAATCTAACTCAAGAACTTGTTTCAATATACCTGAAACACACAAAATACCTATTTTATCTCATTAATTTTTAAAAATTTCAACTTATGTACTGGGAAAAGCAAGTAGTTTCCAAGGCACTCCTAAGAGTCAAATCTTTCTAAAGATCTAAATGATGCCATAAAATAAGAAACTAACAGAGTATCAGGCTGTTTCAATTGATACTACCAGACAGACTATAATACAATCATAAATTAAAACTCTTTTCTTGGAGACACCATGCAACAGTCCTAAATATATACACCACACAAGTACCAACTCCATTTCATTGGGACAATTTTCTGTCTTCAGTTTGATAGAAATATATCATGTTCCCTTTCTTGCAATACTTTGCCTAAAGTAATCACAGCAGAGAGAGGGAGAGGCAAATGCAACAGCCACTTACTCATCATAACACAATCTTTCCCCTTCACGTCAAGAGAATTTTTGAGGGCAGAGAATCACAGAAGTCACTCCAACAATACAGAGTAATTTTATTTAGCCTATAGATTCTAATTTTTGAAACATTACAATTTCTTTACATTTCCAAGACTACTCAAAATTGTGCCTACAGCGGACCTGCTTTCACAATATTATCTAATACTGTTATATAAGAACGTGTCTGACAACAGACACAAGTGGACCTTGTTAATATGTCAATGTGGTTTCAAAAATTTCTGTAAATAAAATCCTACGTCAAAAGCACTAAGAGAGATTAGGGAGACTATCATTCATTCAAAACTTAAAATATGGACAAAAAATACTCTTTGACTAATCTTTACATTGTGCAACTGGCCTTTTATGTTTTGAAAATTTGCATGGTTCTAACAGTTTTCCCAAGTGAACATGGCCACTGACTAGCAAGCCACACAAATTCAGGAATGGAAGATTTTCAGTACTTTTTTTTTTTGTAGGAAATTAAAGCAGTCTTAGGGCAATCAATTTCCTATTCTTAAAAGTATACTTAGGGCCAGCACTGTGGCATCCATAGTAAGTAAAGCCGCTGCTTACAGTGCTGGCATCCCATTTGGGTCCCGGCTGCTCCACTTCCCATCCAGCTCTCTGCTATGGCCCAGGTCCTTAGGCCCTTGCACCAGCGTGGGAGACCCAGAAGAAGCTCCGGGCTTCCTTCCAGTACGCCCAGGTCCGCCCCTTGCAGCTTTTTGGGGAGTCAACCAGCTTGTGGAAGACCCCTCTCTCTCTGCCTCCCTGTAACTCTGGCTTTCAAATAAAGAAATCTTAAAAAGAAAGTATACTTGCATTAAAAGACAGACAGCCACAAAAACACTTAATGCATAAATTTTTAAAAAAAGGAAAGTAAATTTTTTTGCCATATAATTTTTTTCACTACCTTTATCTCCTACAGGATATAGCGCTACAAGCTTTTCTCTACGATAAAAAAAAAAAAGCACTAGTGGTCAAGACTGTTTGAGAAGTTTAGGGAAAGTTTTAGGATCTAAGGCAGAACTTCAGTCCTTTTTATCATGCGTCTCACCTGGGCTATTCAGAGACTTAACTTCACTCACAGGTACCGGCAGTGCACCTGAGCTAAATCATGCACCAAAGGTGGGGATCTTGTTAACAAACTCAAGCCAGCTGAGAGCCCTAAGTACAAGGAATTTAAAGCAAGGTCACATTGGAATGTTCTGACGGCAAGGTCCGAAACTAGCCAATAAACACACCAAAAGGAAAGAACGGAGACCCTAAGCAGACCAGGTCGTTCACGTTGTCAGAAGGGATGCGGCTAAAACGCTGGGCTCCAGGCCCCGGGACAGCATCCCGACAGCGGAGCCCAGGGAGGCGGCCGCGGGCAAGGCCGCCGCCGCCGCAGGTGCCGCGCTGAGGGCGCACCCCCAGCCGCAAACTCCAGGGCACTGGAGCTGCGGGGCGGCGCTGCGGGGGCGAGGCGGCCGGCGCGGGAGGTCGCGGGACTGCCCCCAGAGTAAGCTGAGGCAAGAGTGAGCACCGAGGGTCTGGAGGGCAGGGGCGTCCAGAGGAGGAGAAAGGGGCCTAGCTCTCACCCTTGTCGCACGCCAGCAAGAAAAGCTTCTCATTCAGGGTGTTCTCCTCCTTCACCTCCCGCACATCCTTCAGCGCCATCACCTCATTCGGCGACGAAGAGGATGGGGAGGAAGGCAGGGAGGAGGAGGAGGCGCCCGAGAGGTCCGTAGTCGGGTACAGGGCCGCCATCATCGCAGCCCATGAAGGGGGCAGGCCCGGAGACGGGGGCGGGGCACCCACCGGCCCCGACCCCGACCCCAACCCCGCCCCAGGGCTGGAGAAGGGATGAGTCGTTCCCGCCGCCGCCTCCGCGCGCGGCCAGCTGGCCCCGAAGGGCGTCGCCTCCCCTCGGAACCAGCACTCGCCCTCCACGGACAGCCCCAGGTTGGTGGCGGCGCATGCGCGGCCTCGAGGCCAGCGCCCCCTCCCCAGCCGCCGGCGCCCGGGCCGAGCCGGTCCGCGCCCGTCCGGGGAAGACAGACTGGAGCGCGCCAGGGCGGCAGCCGAGCGCGGGGCCGTGCCAGGAGCCGCAGGGGCCGCGCGGGAGGCGGCCCGGCCGGGAGGACGACGAGAGCTCCGAGGGAGAGGCGCTTCTGAGCACGTTGGGCTCCGAGGCTGTGGGAACCGTCGGCTCAGCTGCGCCGGGAGGAGATGTTCGCGACTCTGCTCACGTCATCCTGCCCTCCGCTTTAGCGACGACACCGGGGCGGGGCCAGCGGCAGGGGCGGGCTTGGGGGCGGAGCCTATGGCGGGGGTGGGGCCTGCGGTGGAGGGCGGGCTCGAAGGACGCACGGCCGGAGGGCGCTAGGAGGCTTCCGGCCCCAGCCCTTCAGCCCCAAGTTACCCAAGTTTGAGGTAACTTGCCCGCCATCTCGCGTCTTAATAGGAGCAGTCTGCTAACTGAAGCTCTGAGGACCTGACGTTTAGTCAGTGCAGTCTGCCTCGCCCCCACGTTGAGGTGGTGGATTACGTACCGCGGGAAAGCAGCAGCGTTTCTAAAGGCTGTTTTTTTTAAACAAGTCGTTTGTGATCCGACATTGGCATCATCGGCAGCGCTGGCATCCCCTATGGCCGCCTGTTAGGGTCCCGGCTGCTCCACTTCCGATCCAGTTCCCTGCTAAGGCGCCTGAGAAGGCAGTGGAAGATGGCCCAAGTGCTTGCCCCCTGCACCCACTTTGGACGGAGCTCCTGGCTTCGGACCAGTCCAGCTCCGGCCTTTGCAGCCGTCTGGGGAGTGAACTAGAGGATGGAAGATCTCTCTCTCTTTGCCTCTCCCTCTAATTCCACCTTTCAAATAAATAATCTTAAAAAAAAAATTGGATCTTTTATTTAGGCAAGAGCTGATTGACACCAACTGCTACTTCCTTAAATAATTTTTTTTTAACAGGCAGAGTGGACAGGAAGAGAGAGAGACAGAGAGAAAGGTCTTCCTTTTGCCGTTGGTTCACCCTCCAATGGCCGCTGCTGCCAGCGCACCGTGCTGATCTAATGGCAGGAGCCAGGTGCTTCTCCTGGTCTCCCATGGGGTGCAGGGCCCAAGCACTTGGGCCATCCTCCACTGCACTCCCTGGCCACAGCAGAGAGCTGGCCTGGAAGAGGGGCAACCGGGCCAGAATCCGGTGCCCCGACCGGGACTAGAACCCGGGGTGCCGGCACTGCAAGGCGGAGGATTAGCCTATTGAGCCACTGCGCCAGCCTAAATAATTTTTTAACCAAGATTTTATTTAAAAATTTAAGATTGCAAAACACTGCTACTGTGGTACACCTTTAAAAGATAGGGGAGAAAACCTGAAATTGTATCTCTTGAATAATTCCTGATTTCCTTAACAATCAACCATAGGGAAATCTGAATGTTATCTTTAAAAGCATCTGAACTGGGGCAGGGGCTGTGGCATAGCGGTAAAGCTGCCGCCTGCAGTGCTGGCATCCCATATGGACACTGGTTCAAATCCCAGCTGCTCCACTTCCCATACAGCTCTCTGTTATGGCCTGCGAAAGCAGAGGAAGATGGCCCAAGTCCTTGGACCCCTGCACCTGCATGGGAGACCTGGAAGAAGCTCCTGGCTCCTGGTTTTGGAGCAGTCCAGCTCCAGCCATTGGAGTCATCTGGGGAGTGAACCAGCGATGGAAGACCTCTCTGTTACTCTGCCTTTCAAATAAATGAATCTTTTATTAAGAAAAATCTGAATTCCCTGACTTTACAAAAAAATTACCTGGGGAATGCCACCTGCAGTGGCAGCATCCCATATGGCAGACAGTTTGAGACCCAGCTGCTTCCACTTCCAATCAGCTCTCTGCTATGGCCTGGGAAAGCAGTGGAAGATGGCCCAATTCCTTGTGTCCCTGCACCTGCATGGGAGCCCCGGAGGAAGTTCCTGGCTCCTGGCTTAGGATCGGCCCAGCTTTCGCCATTGCAGCCATTTGGGGAGTGTACCGGCAGATAGAAGACTTCCCTCTCTGTCTCTATCTCTGCCTCTGCCTCTTTGTAACTGCCTTTCAAATAAAATAAATATTTTTTTTAAATTGCCTTTAAGATTTTAAGGCCACACATAGACTTACTTCTGCATATCTCATATTTGAGGGAACAACTCTCTATACAGTTAATACTGTTTTGTTCCATCACTGTACCTCTGAACACTTGAACTCCCAAATTTCCTAAATACAACTTTATCATCAAAGTCCTCTTTAGATCTTCTAGAAAAGAGATGCCATGATTGTCCACGTTCCGTTTTCATATTTACTTCAAAATAATTGATCATCTCTTGAATCATTACAGTTTTTTTTTTGTCTTTAGACAAATCTCCCCACTCTAATGCTTAATACGAGGATACTTCAAAAAGTTTGTGAGAAAGCAAAAAAAAAAAAACAAAACTGGAAAGTGGAGTTTAAAATAAGGTTATTTTGGTGCAAAAATTTTGAAATTGCATATAAAAGGCCTTCAAAAAGTTCATGGAAATGCATATTATGAAAAAACTATGCATAGATTTTAAGATACTTTTTGCACCAAGACTTATCTTGACTCCATTTTCTATATACGTTTTGAAGTAGCCTCCTCATATAGGCCCAAGTTTGTGTACTTGATGGAATTGCTGTCAAATTTGAGGCCAGGTAACAGAGGTACATGTTTGTGCTTATATACATTCTTTGTGGGTCAGCAAAATGGTCAGTAACAAACCAGCTGACACATCCAAAAGTTCAGAGTGATTGAGGCTGAAAATTCAGATGGCTCAGAAGTATAGCTATAAAATACACATCAGACTCAAAGACACAGGGAATGTGACAAGGAGAGAAAGAGAAGTGTATCAGCTTCCCAATATTAAACCATTTCAAGCTTCTGGGCTTAGATGATTCCCACAGGGGCTAGGTTAATTTTTACAACTGGGTGGTATTCTGACCCACTTTAGTAGATAATCCTAGGAAACATTCCAAAGTATTTGGAAGCTAAATACACTTCAAAGTTATACCAGTGTTGCCAGTGCATCTTGTTTAGAAATCCTTTTGAATCATCTGAGACACAGAATAGCCTCCTCCCTTGCCTCTCTTTGATTTTCTTTATAACTGAAGTATTTTTTTAAGATTTATTTATTTACTTGAGAGGTAGAGTTACAGACAGAGGGAGAGAGAGAGGTCTTCCATCCACTGGTTCACTCCTTAAATGGCCACAACAGCCAGAGCTGCCAATCTGAACCCAGGAGCCAGAATCCTCTGGGTCTCCCACGCAGGTGCACATATAGGATGCTGGTGCCACAGGCGGATGATTAACGTACTGTGCCATAGCGTCAGCACCAATAACTGGAGTATTTTAATATCATGTGAATGCTCTATCCATTTATTTTGAAAATGTGATTTGGAGACTAACGGTAGAGTTACAATGAACAATGGTATGTAAGATCAGAAGCAACACATTACTCAAAGCAACTCACGCCAAACAGGTACAAAAGGGCAGTTGCAACTCCAGTCAGGAAAAGAAAAGAAAAATAATAAATCCAGAATTAGATCTAGTGCCTCAAGTAGGAAAGACTCTATTTACAACACCAGACCCTCTTCCTCTTTTAGGGGACCCAAGGGATCTGTTTGCGTGGGATGTTGCTAAATAGTCAGCCTCAAGCAGAGTTGCTCAGAGAAAAATTTTGTTTACTTGGAACGAGTGCAGGAGACAGTGGGAAATTATGCTTCCCTACCAGTGCTTTTCTTTTATAGCAAGGGTTAGAGCAGTGTCCAGGATGTAGACTAGGGGGACCAGGAGAGTCTATCCTGCTCAAGCAACATATATTTTCATACTCAAACTGGTTTCTTGCAGCTGTAACTTCCTTGTTTCTGGTGGCCTGGCCCCCTCTGAGCACAGAGTTGCCAAGATAAGCCATCCTGGAACATCCGCTCAAAAACAAGCTCAGGCCAGTGCCCCCACTGCTGTGTCCCTTCCCTTACTAAGTCCTACATGCTGGTTCCACCTCTCCCTCCTTGCTCTCAGGCCACATTCGCCTGTTCTCTGTAATGCTTTCGATGCTCCTCCTGCCTCAGACCTTTGCAATTGCTCTCTTTGCTGAACACTCAGACCAAACAGAACATCCTTAGAGAGACCTTCCTTGATAACCAAAGTCCATCTCCATCCTACTTCCTGAGTCAGTCTCCATCACGTTACCTTGTTTTATTTCTTCTGCGTTATCACTATCTAAAATTCCCATTTGTTTATTGTTTCCCTCCCTCTACTGACACATAAAATCAGAAGAGGTTATCTTTTTCTCAGCTGAATCCCTAGTGTCTAATCTATGATTATATTTGGATTATAACATCCAACAAATTTCTGTTAATGAATTAATTTACTCCATGTCAAAAAAAACTAAATTTGTGATAACCATGCAGTTGGTCTTTAATAAAATCCTTCCTATTAGAGAACAAGAGAGGGCCTAGTGTTGTGTCACAGCAGGCTAAGCCACTACTTGTGAGGCCAGCATCCCATATCAGAGTTTTGGTTCGAGTCCCAGCTACTCCACTT